TAGTTAGTTGTTAATTGTGATTAGTTGGTTAGTTAGTTGTTTTAAAGCGAAAAAAAATAGGAAAAGAAAGAAAAGAAAAGAAAAGGAAAAGAAGAAAAGGAAGAAGAAGAGGAAAAAGAAAAAGAGGTTGATTTATTAATTTTAGTTTATTTTATTTCATATTATAATACAAGCTAATACAATCTAATCACTTACTTACTCTTCTTCTTCCCTTTCCTCCTCTTCTTTTTCCACTTTCAACTTTTCAATCCAATTCTTCCTCTTCTCCCCTTCCTTTCTCTTCTTCCTACCTTTTTTATCTTCTAAAAACTCATACCCAACCACACCCCCCTCTTCCCTCTTCCCTTTCACCGCCCTCAAGCCTAGCAACAAACCAACCTTATCCCTCTTCTTATTAAGCAACATATCAACGACTTTCGCTAAGCTTGCAAAAGGTTAATTAAAAAAAAGCTTTAACTTAAAAATGACTTGCATAACGACCGTATAAAAGAGTTAGATCCGGTTTTAAGAAAGGGTTGCTAGTCTGATATTAATTGAATATAATTAATTGGTTAGTTTAAAACGGGAAAAAAGAAAGGAAAGAAAGGAAAAAGGAAGGGAAAGGAGAGGAGAAAGGAGAGAAAAAAGAAAGGAAGAGGTTGATTTATTGACTTTAGTTTATTTTATATTTTTTATATTTTGTTTATAATATAATACAATTTAATCACTTACTCTTCCCTTCCTCCCCTTCCTCCCCCACCTCCTCCTCCCCCACCAACTTCTCAATCCAACTCCTCCCCCCTCCCTCTCTCCCCTTCCCCCCCCCCTTCCCCTTTTCCCCTTTTTATCTTCCAAAAACTCACACCCAACCACACCCCCTTCTTCTTCTTCCCTCTCACCGCCCTTAAGCTTAACAGCAAACCAACCTTATCCCTTCTCTTATCAAGCAACAAATCAACGACCTTCTCTTGCAAAAAGTTAATTAAAAAAAAGCTTTAACTCAAGAATGACTTGTATAACTACCGTGCAAAAGAATTAAATTAAATTAGATTCGGTTTTAAAAAAAGAAAGAAAAAGTTGAATTGCGAGTTTTGATTTTAATTGGTTAGTTAATTAATTAATTGTTATTAGTTAGTTGTTTTGAAGCGGGAAAAGAAAGGAAAGGAAAGAGAAGAAGAAGAAGAAGAAAAAGAAAAGAAGGTTGATTTATTGATTTTAGTTTATTTTATTTTATTGTCACCTACGGTGACCCAAGATAAATTCCAGTAGTTGTGATGGTAGTTAGTCATCCAGTCACGTAAGACTATTCTATATAGATCTGGCAGGATTTCTAAGCGTGCTAAGACTTTTATTCCATGTCAATCTATTGAACTTTTTTCGGAACGAGTCGGCCCGTTTAATTCATGTACAACAGCTAAGCTTAATTCAGCCACCGCTATTAATTCTGCCATATATAACGCACGTAAGGCTGCCACACGTAACGCACGTCGCTGCTTTACAAAACGCACGTCGCTGCTACACGTAACGCACGTCGCTGCCTTACGTAATACGTAAGGCAGCTAGGCTGCCACCCGTAACCTACGTAAGGCTGCCTGCCACCCGTAACCTACGTAAGGCTGCTACCCGTAACTTACGTAAGGCTGCCACACGTAACCTACGTAAGGCTATTATACGTAACCTACGTAAGGCTGCTATACGTAAAGCACGTCGTTGCTTTAAATATCAAGTAAGTTGACGTAAATGGCAAGCAGCTTACGTAACATCAAAGCGAGCTTAGGAGTGCACCTACCAAAGTATATACGCGCAATTAAGAGTTCACAGAATTTGAAGAAGGGTGTTTGTTTGAATGATTTGAAGTTCGAAATAATAGTATATCTTTAGTTTTTAATTATTAGTACTTCTAGCTCTATCACTAAAACGTGACTTTTATACATCTATAACTACGAATTTTTAACAACGTGACTTAATCTAATTCTAGAATAAAGAGAAGAACATGCTAAAAGAGACGACGTGCTATATTAGCGAGTCTTATAGTCTTAGTCTTCGAAACCTTTGTAACTTGAAAACAAAAGTAATCGAATAGCTTTTTAATAAAAAGACTTTTTAAAGTCTTGACCCGAGATACAACGACGTAACTCAATTTAGTAACGTGATCTTTTATAATCAAATTCGTAATTATTTTATCGGCTATAATCTTTTAAGATTTGTGAACAGTAATAACGAAAGCAATAGTAAAAAGGAGCTATATCCGAGTGCAAGCTACATTCCTTAATATAAACTTTCTTTTTAAAAGAATAATTAGCACGACTTATTAACCTTTAGCGTTTTTATAAAAGTAAAGTCTATCGTACTTATCGAAAGCGACGAGTATAATAAGAATATCTTTATCACAATCAGCTTTAAGAAGCCAATTGAAATCTTTTACGGTACTTAAAGTATTATTGACCAAGCTTTTCTTAGTTTAACGATTCTTTATAAGTATAACTTTAGCTTCGATACAAAAGAGAATAGTTTTATGAAAGTTACTACTTTTATCTTAATCGGCGGTTTCAGCCTTTTAGCTAATGTGATAAGCTTTGATTTGCTTAACAAAGGTATTAAGCGCAGACATTTTAATATAGTTATACTCGTTCACTTATGCTTTCTTTTTATAAACTCGTAAAACATTATTAAACGTATTAACTTCGGCGCAAAAGAAAGTAATAGCAACTCGACTCTTTAAAACATTTTAATAATTAATAATAACGTTGTTATTACGTAGTCCTTCGAGAGCAATGCGGAATTGCTATTGTTCGAAGTCTTCTTTTTGTTATCGCATGATTATGTCTAATTTTATAATCTAATTAAATAGCTTGTATAAAGCTTAATTATAAACTGCAGTTTCCTTTTTTAAGTTGGTTTGATTATTAAAAAAAGCGAAAGCACGAATAAGAAGCAATTGAAAGAAGTCACTTTAAAGAATAATATCGAGTCTTTTAAATAACTCGTTAAACTGATAAAAGCGAATCTAGCGAAGTCTTTGATCTAAATAGCTTAAAGTTTTTAACGATATTATAGATTTCTCGTTTATAAAGATACTTTTAATATATTTAAAAGTAGCTTGTAGCGAAGCGAGAGTTCTTATAAAAAGAAGAGCAAACTTGTTATTAATTAAAAGGCGAAATAAGCTGTAAAATGTCCGGCCAAGAATACTATAAGCGGCGACTCTTGTAAAAGCAGCTTTAAAGATTAGATTATTCTTATAAGATTGTTGAAGATAAGCAAAGCAAAGATTAATTACGAATAATTTACTTATGCTAGCACGATTATCGATATATAAAAGTAGCTAAGCTGCTCTACTACTAGTTAATCAAGTATTTATAAGTCTAACGATCGTATCGTAAACTTGACGCTGCTTCGAATTAAGCAATTCAAGAACCTTTTAAAAAGCAAAGTCAACTTTTAACTTTTTCGGATAGTTTTCTTTTATAATATTTAACTACTTAAAAACAGCTTCGAAAGTTTTATCGATATAAGAAGCTTAATCGTAGCTCCGATCAATCTTACGATTATTAATAGCGTTGTCGTCTTTAAGATCAACGGCGCTATCTCTGCTCGGTTTTTAAGCCGTTAACTCAGCTTAAAAGAGGTCGTTCTGCTTTTTCTTTTCGAATAGCTTAAACTCATTTTTTTCGATCTTAACTTTAAAGATTTTTTTAAAGCTATTTATAAACCAGTCCGAATGTCGATGACGAGTAATACAAAAGCTAAGCGTAGCAATATAATTTATAAATTCATAGCTATTAAATTGAAAGAGATCGAAGCTAAGGTCTTAAAATAAATGATAAAGCATTAGCTTGATTCGTGTAAAGTCTTTTAGATTCTTAACTTAATCGTATTTTAAAAAGTAGTTGATTAAGCGAAGAAAAGCATTAAAGCGACGAGTGTTTTTAAAGTAATCGTAAAGCGTAAAGAATTAAAAGAAAAAAATATCTTTAAGTTTAGTTAAACGAAAAGCGTATCTTTATACTTTCGTAAGACTTTTAATACGAATCTTATTCTCGTCAACTTTAATAGTTATAGATTATACTTAGCGGCAATCTAAAGTTTTAATAGTCTTAGACTTATCTTAAAGAAGTATATTAAAAAGAATGTAAAAGACCTTTTAAGAAGATTAATCTCTTTTTTTAATAAGCTTATTTATTGTCTTTAAGACGAGCGAAAGCAATAGATTTTCGGAATTAATATAAAGCAAAAGCTGCTTTACTAGCTTAACGTAAGTCGTACTTTTCTTTTCTTTTTTAATATAATACTTTTTAATATAATTGATAATAGCATAAGCACTTGTGCAAAGTATAGCATTTGTATTTGCTTTTTAAGCTATAATAATAAAGCGATTATAAAAGTTGATTCGCGTATCATTCCGTTTAAAGCTGAACATCTAAAAAAAAGGATTTCTAAACTTATTTATAACAAGTTCATTTCGTAGCTGCTAAAAAGAATAGAACTTATAATACTTTTAAGAGTCAAAAGGAGCACTTTTTTTGATTCGGAAGTATAGTGCTTACCAGCATTAAGATCAAGAGGAGATTCTGTGAATTGAATGAAGCTTGGTATATTCTATCTAAGAAGCTCGTCAGGATCTATGTATATATACTTAAGAGCTCTAGTATGCCAAGGGCGCTACTAAGCGAGGTCACATAACATGTCATATGTAACTTAAGTGGAACTATGCCTGTTCCGCACAACACACCCTTTAAGTCAGCAGCGTAGCTATTAAGCTGCAAGCAAATAAAAAAGAAAAAAATAAGTAACTAAGCTTTTTAAACTCGATTGTAAACAAAAAAGATTATTATCGCAATTTAAACAAACAAATAGCGGTTGTTATTATTAATTGAGTGTTAATTAAGAATGCAATTCTTTCTTAAGTCGGTCTTATTACGTAACGGAGGTCTTTAACGCCGTCTTTATCGCGTTGCTATATAAATAAGAGCGCGTTCCTTTCTATTATAACAAACACTCAACTTTCATTTATCTACATAATGCTTTTTAAGCAAGTAACTCAGTCTAGTAAAATCGTTAAGCGCGGCCGAAGCCGTCTAAAAGTAAGTGCTCTTAACAGATTAATATTTCTATGCTGACTATTAAGAGAATCCTTTGTCCGCCTTAGCTATCGCTGCTGCTGCAGCTGCGGCGACGGCGGCGGCTATACCTCGCACTTTTACTTTTGAGCCTCGCACTTCTACCCCCGAAGCTTCGCCTTTTCCTTCAGACCCTCTTACTAAGCGCTTGCTTATGCTAACGACCGTTAAGGCTTTAAAGTATATCAAGTGCATCAATAATAAGATCATATCGAGGTTTAATAGAAACTGTTATAATTGCGATACGAGCGTTATACGCTGTCTCCGGTGTGCTAAAGGTAGCTATAGCAACTGCACCGCTGCTTCTGCCGCTGCTAACACCGCTTTCGATAACTTCGTAAGCGCTAAAGATAATAGTATTATACAAAAAGTTCGCCGAAGTCTTCGAGATGCTATGCGACAACAGCTCGCTTTAGATGCTGTCCTTTTAAAAGGTGCTGCTAGTAGTTTGGACAGTCTAGCGAATAGAAGTAGAGGTTTTAGAAGTAGTCCCGATAGCCTTACAAGTTTTGCTCTTGCTCTTAAGACTTTCAATTTAAATATAGCTTTTGTTAAATTGAATAGTCTTATAGCAGCGAACCGTAGTCCGGTGACGCGGAGCGCCTCGAGCATGTCATCCTCTCGTAAGTCAAGCTTTTTGACTTACGAAATAGTCTAATCTAAGCAGCTCTTTTTGACCAGAACTTCTTCTCGGACTTCATGCAAAAGCTTCAATCTGCTGCTATAGCAGCCCTTGCGCTTACGCTAGCCGCTTTTATTGCTCCCGTCGCTCCCGCTGCTCCCGTCGCACTTATTATCGTCGCCTCTTCTGCGCTAATTATTACGCTTGCCGTTCTTGCGGCGGCGCCCGCCGTTGCTATGACTCTTGCGAAGCGCCGAGCTAAAGTAAAAAGATTGCTAAGAGCTTTAATCGATCTTTTGTTATAAGAAGCGAAGGGTAAAAGCGTATAAGATAAGATAGAATAACGATTAAGATTGCTAAATAAATGTTTTTCTTTGAATTACGTATAAATGAAAAAAATGAAATGTAATAAGTAAACAGCACATGCGTGCTATTAAAGCTTTTCGACGGACGCGCGAGCGTCTTATAAATTTAAGAGTTTGATAAAGCTCTTAAACTTTTATCGAGTCAAGTTCTTAATAAGACCATCAGCGTGTATTTCGTTAGTAAAGAGATATTGAACTTAAAAGCTTCTTTTAAAGTGCTCCTAGCGCAGCCACATATTATAAATATCGACGTAGCGAAGCTTAGTAAAAATACGCTCTTTTTTACCAGCTATAAGCTTGATTGTTTATTGATTATCACAATAGACTACTCAAAGGGCCGCAAATCGAAAGTACAGCTCCTTGAAAAATCGTTAAAGCGCTATAATCTCCTTTACTATAAAGGCCATGCTAAGAAGCTTTGCTTCAATAGATGATATGATAACTGTATCCTGCTTTAAAGCTTTCTAAAAGATCGCACCTTCGAACAAAAACATAATATACTTTTAAGAAGATCGCTTTATCTTTTCGTTATCGGCGTAAAAAGCGTCAAAGGCTATTACTAGCTCCGACTTGCTAAACTAGCTGTATTGAATACTTTTAAAGCGCGAGTCAAATAGATATCGCAAACATTAGTTTACAGCTCGGAAGTGCTCCGCGCTTAAATTAATACTAAAGTAAAAGAGTTAAAAAGCTGCAAAAGCTATATCTAAGCGTAGCATGATCGCTATATATAACACGGATCCAACCTTCTTTTAATACTCTTTCACCTGCTTCCGCGAAGCTATCCTTTTATTTTTAATTAAGTCATAGAACGGTAATAGAGTTGCTAAGTAGCGTCCGTCCGTAAGTTCGAATTTCTTAACTATTTTTTCAATATAAGCGTCGTGCATAAGCGTTAGCGTTCTTCGCTAACAGTCTCGAGCGACTCTTATACTAAGAAACTATTTAATATCTCTTATCGCTTCGATCTCATACGCTTTATTAAGACCGTTAATAATCTCTTGCGCTTTAAAAAGATTAAAGTGATAATATATGACTTAAATATCGTTTACGTAAAACGCTATGAAAACCGTTTTATTTAAATTCGTAAAAATACACGGTTCTTTACCGAGTAGTATAAGCTCTAATTTATCGAGTGTGCTTATGAAGTCGAAATACTATAAAGCCGGCGAGTCTTTAAGTCTATATAAAGCTCTATCGACCTTTACGAGCATACCTTTTTACTTAAAACCGTTAAAAAGATAACACGTGATTAAGACGCTATCCGTATATCTTATAGCGTTAATAAAAGCGTTAACGACATCGAACTGTTTTACTTTTAAATCAAATTCAGCTGCTATAACTATTATAATCTTAAAAGATCTAATTGCTAGCGTAGCCGCGTAAGTTAAATAAATAATAGATTCGTCTTAAAGGTCACTTTTAACAATAATCTTCGATCTGAACCTTACGATTTCTTTAAACGAGCCAGTCTTGTATATAAACACTTATTTAAAAAGTATAAGTTTTAACTTAGCTTCGCCTTCGAGAATCACTCTTTAGCAGTTCCTTTTCTTTAGATTATTTAGCTCTATAAGAGCTCTGTCCTTGAACTCTTTGCCGTATAAGTGTCGTTATAGCTCTTTTTAATAAATAAGAAGTTTTAAATGTTTTCGTTCTTACGGGTTAAGCTATTTTAATAACAGCCCAAACGAAGTAGCAGCTGCTATAATAGCGTGCAATATCTCGTAATCTTTGCTATCTTCGCGCACAAGTTCGCTATTAACTTAAAAAGTCGATACAAAATCTAAAACGCGCGAATAGCGATTCGAATCGGCGCGAGAGTTGTTTAAAAGAAGCTCACTAACACTTGCGTATATCCTCGCGCGTTTTCTAATGCAGCTATTAATAAGTAAGTGCTCTTTACTAGAATCGGAATTTTGTTTAAAGTGTTTATAATCTAATTTCTTATTATTAGTGCTCGCTTTAAAAGGGTTTAAAAGCTCTTCTTTAATTATTCGGTTTAAATCTCCGCCGGTTGTTGACGTAAAAGCTTTCGTTAGTCGGCTTATAACTTAGCCTTCCGGGCCTCGGCTTTAAATAACAACTTGAAGGTATGATTTGCGCGCTCTTTTATTAAAGCCAAGTTTTTGCTCGTTTACGATGCTCTTCTTTACTTTTAACAGTCTTAAAGCACCTTCGCTTTTGTTCTTAGCTAAAGAGCTAGCGAAACGTTTAGCGGTGTAATTCGAATCGTCAAAGTCTATTAAATCGTCTCGTAAAGCAGTTGCTTTTAATATAAACGTATTTATAAGATCTTTAATTAAAGTTAAAGCTCTTAACGTTTGTGCATCGCTCGGATTAAATAAGGTCGCATTCCTTAAGCTTTAACTAGATCCTTTTAAGTCAACTTCTATAAAGTCTGACGGCTGCTCACCTTTTATATCAATTACATTCGTCTCTTTTAAGCGATCCTTTGCAACGTTCTTTATATTAAACAAAGCGTCTTTTGTTTAACTAAAGTCTTTAATATCTTTTAGTTTAATAACGATTCTTTTAATCTCGCTAATCGATTAGCCGACCGATTTTTTTTCGTTTTTAAGATAGAATTAAGTCTTATCGAACGTTACGTTGCGTGTAATAATCACTTTATAAAGCACAAGAACATAGACTTTGTATATGTTAAAAGCTATATATTTAACTAAATAGCTTATATGTTCTCTTAATTTAACTTTAAAAGCTCTTTTGTTGCGAAGAGCTTCTCGATCTTTGATTATTAAGTACGCACGAGCGCTATACGCAACCAAACCGCTATAATCTAGTCTTAAGTCGGTGTCGATCCGTATAAAGATCGCCGGATCGTATTACTTAAAATATTGCTTAAACTAAAGCTATAGCACTTTATTCGGACTTTTTATAAAGCTCTTCGCTCTCGGTGTCATATTGTAAAAGTAGATAGCGGCTAATATAGTCTTAAGCTAAAGCTTCTCTAAGAGCCTTGCTCTTACTTTTATTTTGATAGACCGTTTTATTACCTTTCTCTTAGCCCTTTTAGCTCCTTTATTAAGTTCGTGATTAAAAGATAGTAAAAGCTTTAACTCGATTTTGACCTCTTTCGCTTATCTTTAGTATTCGGTAAAGCCGATAACGTTGATTGCGATTACCGAAGAATCGTTATTATAACGCATAACAGCTATTGAAAAACCGTATTTGCGTCTTGTCTATGCTTTAAATTCTTTTAGCACTTTTATAACCGTCAATTGCAACTTGTCTTTTAATATAAAGCCGAATAGCTTTTTATTATATTCATCTTTAATTATTAACAACTATTTGCTCTCGTCAAAACCGTTAAAGAAGTCGAATAGATCTTAGGCGATCTTATAAAATGACTTAGCTGCTTTGTTGTCCGACGTGCAGCGAGATATAACTTATTAAGCGTGCGTAATAGCATATGCTTTACATTCAACCTTAATGATTCTTTTAAGTCTTACCTTTTTAGCGTTGTAAGTCAGCGCTTCGAGCGCTTTTTTGCTTAAATGACTTGTTCGTAAATACTAAAGTACCGATGAATTCTCTTTTAAAGCTCGGAAGACATTGCTCTTTTAGAATTTATAGCGTATTTGCAAGCGCTTTTAAGTTGTAAAAAACATTATTAAGCAAAAAAAGCTACGAATCAATTAAAGCAAAGAATAATTGAATAGCTTATATTTAAAGAACGTAAAATTGAACTTCTTTTTTAACTTTCTTAATACAACGCTCTTTTTAACCTCTTCGTAGCGGAGAGTTGCGTTATATCCCGAGTACTATACGCTAGCCTTGCTTAAAAGAGCTTCCGAGATGATATTGATATTAAACTTTTTAACGATAGCGACGTTTTCTAATTTTAAATCCTTTGTTCCAGCTCTATTTAATCCGTTCAAAGCTCTTTTAAAAACTTTAATACTTCGCTCGACGATTAAGAAGCTACTCGTTTTAGCTTCGATGAAGTCGGTTAAGCGAAAGCGTTGAATTGACCTTAGCTTTAAAAGATTCTTATCGTTAATAAAGTGAGTAGCGCCGCAATTATCGAGAAAAGTGCTATTAAATAGCTAGTGCTTATTATTAGCCGTATTATAAAGACCGTTAAAAGCAAGATTATCGAGCGTGCTAAAGAGCTCGGGATCGATAATAACTGTTAACACTTTTTTAAAGTATTTTAACTTATCGCTATCGTTCGATTGCTTTTCTTTGCTTTTTAAGACGATCTTATCGACTTGAATCTATGCTTAACCCTTTTTAATAATCTCCTCTTAAAGCGCTTTAAATTTAAGCTCTTAAAGCCTTTTCTTTATAACGACGATATCATCTCGGTTCGGCTTTGCGAATCCACTTTCGTCAAGACCGTTAAAGCAATAGCGAAAGATCTTGCACTTGATTGCGTCTTAGTAATAGTTTCTCTCTTTAAAGCACGAGCACTTAAAACCCTTAGCAAGTCCTTTAAAGCTATCGAAGCGTTTACCGGACGGCTTAAGAGCAGTGTCGTTAGCTTTGTTACCTCCGGAGGTGCTGCGAGTGATTTGATTTCCGAAAGTAGCGAATACGCTAAAGAAGTTGGAGTTCGGATTGCTAGTCTTCTTTTCGACTTGGCTTTCGTACTAATTAAAGTAATCGTAAAGGGTGCGCTTTTGAAGCAATGATAGCTCGTCGTTTCGAATGACCTTTGCGAGCTCTAGCGACGCTTATATTAGTAACCATTTTTCGCTAATAGCTTTTAAGAATGCCTTTGTCGCGAGTATACTCGTCGTCTCGTAAAGGTTGTTTATCTTCGCTAACTTGTAAATAGCTCGGTGCTCTTTGATTTATACCGTTAAAGAGACGCTCTTTTGCTTAGCTGCTTGCAAGGATTTGTTATAGTCTCGTGCTATCGACAGCTTAAAGCTCGAGTCGGATAAACGGCATATTTCTTAAAGCTTTTTTACTAA